ACCTAGATACAAAGTTGCAACTGATGACAACATCAAAATAAAATGGGAGATGATTGGTGTAGATATAGAATTTTAATATGTTGAGGAAGTTAAGGCGGTTTCAAGATATAACAGGTTGTTTAAAATGTAGAATCTTAAATGTAATCTTCACAGTAACCACAAGAAAGTAAATAAAACTACTTGCCAAAATATAGAAGGGAAACAAAAAACACTCTAAATACTAATCACAAAACAATACTAAATAAAAGGAAAAGAAAATCTATATTTAAAAAGAGCTCAGCGCTGAAGGTAGAGGAAGAAGCCACTAATCTCACACGCAGAAAAAGGTGTAACAAAATGGCTGAAGTAAATCCTCCCTTATCAATAATTTCAGTGAATGTAAACAAATTAAATGCTCCCAGTCAAAAGACAAGCAGTGGCAGAATGGATACAAAATGAAAAGACACTTCACCAAAGAGGATATTCGAGTGGTCAACAAACGTATGAAAAGATGTTCACTGTCATTAGCCATTATCCGTTGCCATTGAGTTGATTTCAACTCATAGCAACCCTATAGGACGGAGTAGAACTGCTCCATAGGGTTTCTAAGGAGCAGTGAATTCAAACTGCCGACCTTTTGATTAGCAGCCAAGATCTTAACCACTGTGCCCACAACCAGGGCTCCATATTAGCCATTAGAGAGATGCAAATCAAAACTATAATGAGATACCACCTCACCCCTGCTAAAATGTCACTGATAAAAAAAAAACAATAACAGAAAACAACAAATGTTGGTGAGGATGTGGGGAGACTGGAACCTGTTATGTATTGAATCATGTCCCACAAAAATATGTGTTGTAAATCCTAACCCCTATATTTGTTGATGTAATCCCATTTGGGAATAGGATTTTCTTTGTTATGTTAATGAGGCCATATCAGTGTAGGCATGTCTTAAGCCAATCACCTTTGTGATATAAAACAAGCATATTAGGCACAGAGAAGAAGCAGAAATGGCGGAGATAGATGCCATGCCACATGAAGATCGTCACATGAAGATCTCCAAGGAACCAAGGAACAGAGGCCGAAAAGAGACAAGTACACTTCCCTAGAGCCAGTGTCCTGAATTCAGACTTCTAGACTCCTAAACTTTGAGAAAATAAATTTCTGTTTGTTAAAGCCACCCACTTGTGGTATTTCTTTAACTCAGAGAGAACCCTTATCCACCCTTGGTGGGAACATAAAATGGTACAACTACTGTGGAAACAGTATGGCGATTACTCAAAAAACTAAAAATAAACTATCTTATGATCCAGCAATTCCACTCCTAGGTATACACCCTAGGGATCTAATTGAAGAGACACAAACAGACGTATGCAAACCTATGTTCACTGCAGCACTCTTTACAATAGTAAAAAGATGCCCATTAATGAATGAATGGATAAACAAAATGTGGTACATACATACAATGGAATACTACACAGATATAAGGAAAAATGAGCTCCTGACACATCTTACAATGTGGATGAACCTGGAGGACATTATGCTGAATGAAATAAGTCAGTCACAAAAGGACAAATATTGTATGATCCCACTTTTATGAAATGCCAAGAAGAGGTACATATACAGAGACCAATGTTCACTGGTGGTTACCAGGGGTGTAGTGGGGAGAAGAAGGGAATCATTCTCTAGATAGTACTCACTTTTTGTTTATGATGATGGGAAAGGTAGCCCCAAATAGGGGTGAAGTATGCACAGCTTGACTAATGTAACTGATGCCACCAAGCTGTACACAAGAAAAAGCCCTAGGAAACCCTATGGGGCAGTTTTACTCTGTCTTATAGGGTCGCTATGAGTTGGAATCAACGGCACACAACAAGTGAGATGCTTCAACAAATGGATACAATACTAGAAGTGCTTACTCATCAAGAAATTTGGAAGACAAGCTACCTGGCTAACTGACTGGAAAAGATCCATATTTTTGCCCATTCCAAAGAAAGGCAATCAAATGGAATGCAGAAATTATTGAACAACATCATTAATATCACATTCTAGCAAAATTTTGCTGAAGATAATTCAAAAACGACTCTAGTCATACATCAACAGGGAACTGCCAGAAGCAGTTCCTCTAAATTGCAGTAATTCCAACTTCCTGCCATTCATTCCTGAGCTCTGGGGTGGGGGGCGGGGGGAGGCAGCTGCTTCTTGCACTTGTACCTCCACCATAAGCTGAGGTTCTCTTTTTATCCTTTCAGATACCTAGTAACAACTTTATTTCCTGTTACGGCTAGTTTGTATTTAATTCTCTCTGAGTAACTGGTGTGGTTTCTGTCTCCGGGCTGGATTTGATTGATATAGCTCCCATTCTTGCCCTTCCTCTATTTTCATTTTATTCACCTCACAATAATATCATTCAACATTTTGCACCCACTTACAATGTATCTTGGTCGGTTTACCGCACTCTATTACTTTTTTTATTTCTTGAACTTCTATTTGGTTCTTTTTAAAATCTGCTTGGTCACTCTTTATAGTCTCAGGTTGCCTGCATGTATTATTAACCTTGTCATTTAGGTTTTTAAACATATTACATATAGTAATTTAAAGTCTGTTTCTGATAATTGCATCATCTTGATCCTTGTGGGTCTGTACTGCTGCTTCTTGTTCTCCTGATTCTTGCTTGTGGTGCCGTGTTTCCTTGAATGGTTATTGTTTTTCACCATGAGCTGCTTCTTTTCCTTGAATTTTATTTGCAGGATGAAGGTCTACAAGAATCACTGTAGGATGTATTCCCTAGGTGAAATTACTAAACGTGTATGCATAGATTTCACCACATTACCCTCTTCACACCCTTGCCAACACAGTGTTATGAAAGTTTTTGACCTTTACTGATCTGATAGGCTAAAGGAATGATAGAGGTAGATAAGTAGCTGCTGTCGAGTTGACTTTGACTCATGACTACTTTATATACAAAATGAAACATTGCCAGGTCCTTCCTGTATCATCCTCATAATTGCTGACCTCTTCAAGTCCACCCTTGTGACTATTGTGCCAGTCCATCTCACCGAGGGTCTCCCTCACCCTCACTGACCCTGCGCTTCACCAAACATGATGTCCTCCTCCAGTGTTTGATCTCTCCTGATGGTGTGTCCAAAGCAAGCGAGTTGGACAATGCTCTGCTGTGATCCATAAGGTTTCTATTGACTAATTTTTGGAAGTGGATTGCCAGGCCTTCTTTCTAGTCTTAGTCTCGAAGCTCCTCTGAGACCTGTCCACCATGGACCACCCTCCTGATATTCAGAATACTGGTGGCATAACTTCCAGCATCACAGCAACCTGCAAACCACTGCGGTATGAAAAACTGACAGATGGGTAGTAGATATAGGTTTGAAAATTGTGGTTTTTTAATGAATTATTTGTTCATAATTTTTTGCTCATTAAAAAAATTTTTTTTTCAGGAATACTTGGCAAGTTACCCATCTATGGTAAGAATATTAGAATCCTTTTCAAATCAGAACATTTAGTTCCTTTACAAGTACAGACACTGGACCAGCTCCTGACTTACGACCAATTCTGTCATTTTGTTTAACCAAAGTTTTCTTAAAATTCTTTCTTTTAGGGTGTAAATTTTTAATCTTGACTCAAAAAAGCCCTGGGGAAGGTGATTTAGGGAATGACACTATTAGTCCTAAAAGAGTTTATATACTGTTTGGAGTAAAGGGTACTTGGGGTCACAGGCATTATTGCCAAAATATGGAAATTTGGGAAATGTAGTACTACTCACAACAATAATCAGCTCTGTTGTTAGGAGATGAGGCCACACTGATGTTGAAAGGGCAGCATGAAGAAGCCTTGGCTAATAAAAAAGGGCCTTCGGTTAATACTGGAAAAGAAATTTAATTTGAAAGTGAACTGTCTGCTCTATCCTTCAACAAATGTTTGGTTACTAGATTTTCAAGTGATTGTGCCAGTAATTGCACCAAAAACAAATGAACAAACCAAATCCCTTGCCATCGAGTTGATTACGACTCATGGCGACCCTACAGGACAGAGTAAAACTGCCCTATAGGGTTTCCAAGGCACAGCTGGTGAATTTGAACTGCCAACTTTTGGGTTAGCAGCCACTCTTAACCACTGTGCCACCAGGGCTCCAGTAGTTGCACCATCACTGTGTTATTCACGGTGGATCATCTCTTAGAATGACCAATGAGCAACATGTAAAGTAGAGGATACCAACTGCACCATGAGGGTGCGCATGCGGAATGCCATAAGCTTCCCTCTCTCTGACAGCAAGTCATCTGCATGCAAACATGTCCTCAAATAGAGCCTGGGGAAAACCATGAACGCTGGGCAAGCCAAGTGTGGGCTCCAGTTCCAGACCTGTTACCACCATTGTGCGACCACAGGCAATCTGGGTGGCCCTCTCTGGTCTTTGGTTGGTCATCTGCCACTAGATGACCTTTGTAGACCCTCACACTTGTATTCTGACAGTGTTCACTTAAAATGAGCCAGGAAATATATTTCCTAAGGGAGCCGTGACAGAGCATTAGGCAGAAACCCATCTGTAACACACACTTGGAGGCACTTTTGCCGTGTATAGGGCATATTTATGCCTGAATAAGAAAAAATGGCCCTGAACTCAACCGTCCAGTTTGAGGTAGAACTGCCACCACCGTCCCCTCTGTACACATGGAAGGCCCAAGGCAAAAGCAGCTCAGTGACTTGGTTTACCACTCCTGAAAACCCCTCACTCAGGGAACTTGCATAGGAAAGTCCCAACTTCGTCCACCTCTCAGGGCACCAGGTGAGTACAGTCCCGGACCCGGATCGCCTGGACTGCGGCTGCGCGCGCGGTGCGGGACTACTTTTCGCCGACCCTTCGCAGGCGGGCGGAGGGACTAGTACCGCGTAGGGGTACCCGCGCGACGAAGGCGGCGCAGATGGGAAGGGAAGCGGGATGAGGTGGAGGGATCTGGGTGCAGACGAGGTGGTCAGTGCGCCTGCGCTTCACCGCCACCTCTCCTCAGCTGGCGCGAGGGGAGCAGGTGCCGCCGCCGCTTCAGCTCCACGCCCGCCACGGCGGAGACCCTCCCCATCCGCTTCTAGGAGCACTTACAGGTGAGGCTGGTCCAGCTCCGAAGCCAGAGGGGCCCAGTCTTGTCACCGCGGGCCGCGTGCGAGGGGATCACGGCGAGGGCGGGCTCGCGTGCGGCCCGGCCTCCCCGGCACGAGAGCGTGTCTCCGGCGGCTGCTCTGAAGGAGCGCTATCTGCGGGGCTTCTCTGACGGTGAGCACCTGAAACTCGGCCGAGCCCTCAGTGCTCATGACCCAGAGGGGAGCAAACGCCCATCTCGGTGCCTTTGAAAAGCTGTATGAAGTCTGGTGATCAATGCTCCAGTATTCCAGCCGTAAGCGTCGTTGTTGTTAGGTGTCCTGGACTCCATACGATTCATAGCGACCCTATGTGACAGAGTAGAACTGCCCCATAGGGTTTTCTAGTGTTAAATCATACTCAGTCATACTAAGCCAATAATAGAAATTGACTGAAGTTTATTGAGTATACGATTTGCAAATCGGGATAACATTACCACTGTTGTTGTTAGGTGCCGTCAAGTTGGTTCCGACTCATAGCGACCCTATGCACCACATAACAAAACACTGCCTGGTCCTGCGCCATGCTCATAATTGTTATGCATGAGCCCATTGTTGCAGCCACTGTGTCAGTCCATCTCCTTGAGGGTCTTCTTTTTCTCTCACTCTCTGCTTTACCAAGCATGATGTCCTTCTCTAGGGACTGAGCCCTCTTGACAACATGTCCAAAGTATGTAAGAGGTAGTCTCGCCATCCTTCCTTCTAAGGAGCATTCCGGTTGTACTTCTTCCAAGACAGATTTGTTCCTTCTTTTGGCAGTCGATGGTATATTCAATATTCTTCGCCAGCACCACAATTCAAAGCTATCAATTCTTCTTTAGTCTTACTTATTCATCATACAGCTTTCACATGCATATGAGACGATTGAAAACACCATGGCTTGGGTCAGGCGCATCTTAGTCTTCAAGGTGACATCTTTGCTTTTCAACACTTTAAAGAGGTCTTTTGCAGCAGATTTGCCCAATGCAATGTGTCTTTTGATTTCCTGACTGCTGCTTCCATGTGTGTTGATTGTGGATCCAAGTAAAATGAAATCCTTCACAACTTCAATCTTTTCTTCGTTTATCATGATGTTGCTTGTTGATCCAGTTGTGAGGATTTTTGTTTTCTTTATGTTGTGGTGTAATCCATACCAAAAGCTGTGGTCTTTGATCTTTACCAGTAAGTGCTTCAAGTCCTCTTCACTTCAGCAAGCAAGATTGTGTCATCTGCGTATTGCAGGTTGTTAATGAGTCTTCCTCCAATCCTGATGCCGCTTTCTTTTTCATATAGTCCAGCTTCTCAGACTATTTGTTCAGCATACAGATTGAATAGGGATGGTGAAAGGATGCAACCCTAATGCACACCTTTCCTGACTTTAAAGCACACAATATCCTCTTATTCTGTCTGAATAACTGCCTCTTGATCTGTCTACAGGTTCCTCATGAGCACAATTAAGTGTTCCGGAATTCCCATACTTCTCAATGTTATCCATAATTTGTTATGATCCACACAGTTGAATGCCTTTGCATAGTCAGTAAAACACAGGGAAACATCTTTTTGGTACTCAGCTTTCAGCCAGAATCCATCTGACATCAGCAATGATATCCCTGGTTCCACGTCCTCTTCTGAATCCTGCCTGAATTTCTGGCAGTTCCCTGTTGACATACTGCTGCAGCTGTTTTTGAATGATCTTCAGCAAAATTTTACTTGCGTGTGATATTAATGATATTATTCAGTAATTTCCACATTCAGTTGGATCATCTTTCTTGGGAATATGCATAAATATGGATCTCTTCCAGCCAGTTGGCAAGGTAGCTGTCTTCCAAATTTCTTGGCATAGACGAGTGAACCCTTCCAGCACTGCATCCGTTTGTTAAAACATCTCAGTTGATATTCCGTCAATTCCTGGAGGCTTGTTCTTCACCAATGCCTTCAGTGCAGCTTGGACTTCTTCCTTCAGTACGATCAGTTCCTGATCATATGCTACCTCTTGAAATGGTTGAACGTCGACCACTTCCTTTTGGTATAATGACTCTCTGTATTCCTTCCATTTTTTATTTTCATGCTTCCTGCATCATTTAATATTTTCTCATAGAATCCTTCACTATTGCAACGCAAGGCTTGAATTTTTTCTTCAGTTCTTTCAGCTTGAGGAATGCTGAGCGTGTTCTTCCCTTTTGATTTTCTATCTCCAGCTCTTTGCACGTCATTATAATACTTTACTTTGTCTTCTTGAGCTGCCCTTTGAAATCTTCTGTTAAGTTCTTTTACTTCATCATTTTTTCCTTTTGCTTTAGCTACTCGGCGTTCAAGAGCAAGTTTCAGAGTCTCTTCTGACATCCATTTTGGTCTTTCCTTTCTTTCCTGTCTTTTTAATGACCTCTTGCTTTCTTCATGTATGACGTCCTTGATGTCATTCCACAACTTGTCTGGTCTTTGGTCATTAGTGTTCAATGCGTAAAATCTATTCTTGAGATGGTCTCTAAGTTCGGGGGGATATACTCAAGGTTGTACTTTGGCTCTCGTGGACTTGTTCTAATTTTCTTCAGTTTCAACTTGAACTTGCATCTGAGCAATTAATGGTCTGTTCCGCAGTTGGCCCCTGACCTTATTCTGACTGATGATACTGAGCTTTTCCATCGTTTCTTTCCACAGATATAGTTGATTTGATTCCTGTGTATTCCATCTGGCAAGGTCCATGTGTATAGTCACCATTTATGTTGGTGAAAAAAGGTATTTGCAATGAAGAAGTCATTGGTCTTGAAAAATTGTATCATGTTATCTCCGGCATCATTTCTATCACCAAGGCCATATTTTCCGAATACTGATCCTTTTTCTTTGTTTCCAACTTTCACGTTCCAATTACCAGTAATTTTCAGTGCATCCTGATTGCATGTTTGATCGATTTCAGACTGAAGAAGTTGGTAAAGATCTTCAACTTCTTCATCTTTAGCCTTAGTGGTTGGTGCGTAAATTTGAATGACAGTCGTATTAACTGGTCTTCCTTGCAGGTGTATGGATATTTTTCTATCACTGACAGCATTGTACTTCAGGATAGATGTTGAAATGTTGTTTTTGACGATGAATGCACACCATTCCTCTTCAAGTTGTCATTCCTGGCGTAGTAGACCATATGGTTGTCTGATTCAGAATGGCCAATACCAGTCCATTTCAGCTCACTCACTAATGCCTAGGATACTGATGCTTATGCATTCCGTTTCATTTTTGATGATTTCCAATTTTCCTAGATTCATACTTTGTACGTTCCACGTTCCAATTATTAATGGATGTTTGCAGGTGTTTCTTCTCATTTTGAGTCATGCCACATCAGCAAATGAAGGTCCGGAAAACTTGACTCCATCCACATCATTAAGGTCAACTCTACTTTGAGGAGGCAGCTCTTTCCTAGTTGTCTTTTGAGTGCCTTCCAACCTGAAGGCTCATCTTCCGGCACTATATCAGACAATGTTCTGCTGCTATTCATAAGGTTTTCACTGGCTAATTCTTTTCAGAAGTAGACTGCTGGGTCCTTCTTCCTAGTCTGTCTTAGTCTGGAAGCTCAGCTGCAACCTGTCCACCATGGGTGACTCTGCTGGTATCTGAATACCGGTGGCATAGTTTCCAGCATCACAGCAACACGCAAGCCCCCACAGTGTGACAAACTGACAGACACATGGGGAAAAAATGTTACTACTAGGGAGTCAAAAATGTTCCAAAGATAAAAAGAACTTACAAGAATTCTTATATCCCATCTTATCGACATTGCCATGGAAAAGGGCCAGAACAGTGTTTATATAGCAGTTTACCCTAAAAGAGACTGTGGAGTTTCTGCTTCTAGAAACTGACTGCACATAGATAACTCTTTAAAAGAGCCCAGTGTCTAAGGCAAAACTGTCTTCACTAAGGTGCTTACCAGGCTATTGTGTGACTTAAAGGTGACTTTTAGGAGACCAGTTTCTTCAAGGCTCAAGATTCAAAAGGACATCTAAGGGAAATGGTTTGGGTGTGTTACTCAAACTCCGTTGTCCCCAGAAATCTGGATTCCAGGAGAATTGAAACTTTTTCTCACTAGGCTGTAATCTTTATGGGAGCCAATCACCAGTTCTTTCTCCTGAGGAGCTGTTGGGTGGGTTCAAATGCCAGCCTTTTGTTTAGCAGCTGAAATCCACTTGTGTCTGATATGAAGTTCCCTCTTTGGGTCTTTTGATTCTGACACCAGAGTTTGTGACTGGTCTGTGGTCATGAGGGTGTCTCGTTGGGGAGGGTCGTCAAAGTGTGTGTTTTCATAACACCCTTCCAATATAAGAACACGAATTTTAGCTTTTTAATAAGGTCTCAATTTGTTTTAAAAGGAGCCTTGGTGGTACACTGGTTAGGTGCTCAGCTGCTAACCAGAAGGTTGGCAGTTCAGACCCACCAGCCACTCCGGGAGAAAGATGTGGCAGTTTGCTTCTGTAAAGATTTTAAGGAGCCCTAATGGCACAGTAGCGCCCGATTGCTACAACCCACCAGCTGCTCTGTGGTAGAAAGATGTGGCAGTCTGCCTCTTTAAAGATTATAGCCTTGGAAACCCAATGGGGAGTCCTACTGTGTCCTACAGGGTTGCTATGAGTGTTAATCAACTCCATGGCTATCTCTAGCTCTCGTAATGTATTTGTGCTACAGGAAAATCAAGACTGGCTGCCTGTGTTTGAACAAAGGCTTGGTCCAGGCCCTGTGCAAAGTACTTCTTTACTCACCTCATCTCCTTCACCTGTCACTCCTATGAAGGATAATATTTACTACTCACATGTCACAGGTGAGAAGAAGAGGCTAGGTGCTTCATGTTAAATCATTGCGATCCCATGAGATAGTTTTATTATTATCTCTGTTTTCTAGATGAGGAAACTGAGGCACAAAGATGTCTTGAATCATCGTACAGAAAACATATATATATATATAAAGATCTATCTTCAAGAGTGTATCCAGATACAGGATATGTTTAACAGTAGTGTTTATTAGGAGCCCTGGGTGGTGCAAATGGTTACGCACTTGACTACTAGCCAAAAGGTTGGGAGTTCAGACCCACCCAGAGGCACCTCAGAAGACGGGC